GTTTAGGGTTTGGGGATTAGGGTTTAGGGTTCAGGGTTTAGGGTTTAGGGTTTAGGGCTTGGGGTCCCAATTTCAAGGATTGTGGTACATTGGGGTCTATATTGGGATCCCTCTATTATTACATTGAAGGATTGGAGTCCGTTGAGATGCAGATTTTTGTTCTTTTGGGGCAGAGCATTTCAGACTCGCAAAGACTGATGGGATTCATCCTTGCAAGAGGGACCCTAGCATTTCACAGGGAATGCGGCGTAAGCGCGACCTGTAGACATGGCCATCAATGGCTTAAGTAGTGTGGTGCGACAGCCACAATGGGCCCTAAACCCTACACACTAAGCCTTTGAAGCGCCATCACTTTCGGGCGACTACATGAATCCTAAAACTGAGACTGAGACCATAGACACCCGTACTATGAAGGTCCATACGCCCACAACCCCCTTTGCCGTAAGCCTTGCTAGGGTTCAAAGGATTAAGAATGGGACTGACCCACGTCCATGACGGATTGCTAACTTGGCGCATCGCAGCTCCAAGTGACACGCTTAAGGGTGTAGGATGGTGTAGGGTTTGAGGCCTCAGGGCCTTAGGAATTAAATCGAACCTTGTGCCATAACATCCATAGTGAAAATGAAACGCGCCACGCCTCCAATGGTTCAGGGTTTATCCCCTGCCAAGAAGGTCGGGGCTAGAGGCAGATCGTATTTCCGCAAGAAGGTGTCATCTGTCCAGGTCACGAAGACAGGACAGGGTAACGTGTCAAACATTTAGTTGTACAAACCTGGAATGATAGCTCCTTGAGAGCGGGTGACCTTCTAAACAGCTAAACCCTAAAACCTAAACCCCTAAACCCTAAACCCTATACTATAGTAGTTTCCATTTTCTTTTCCATTATCCCTATTTAACCCCTATCCTTCTGCTATTCTGTGAAGGTCTGTGTTGGCTCACAGAGACTGCTATGTCACAGAGTTCCCCTTCACACCCGAAAGGGCAGGGAAGTTCGACCGCGACTTCACGACCAATTGAGGTGTTCGCAATGGTCAGGAAGTGAGGGGCATCAGAGATGGCGTGGTGAATGACTACGGCAGCGACAAGCCCGCCAAGCACATTCGAGGCTTGTCCACCGATTTGCGAATTTTGGACTTCGGCGCAGTCTGCGTGAATCCTGTGCGGGTTCATATGGGTAGTTCCCAAAATTAGGCTTGGGTACCCCTAAATACTAGGTGCCGTAATTTGACCTATAACCGAAAGTGAGCCCAAAATTCTAGGAACTACCCATATGTTACGGCTGCAATTTGGATGAGAAGCTTTCGCGGGAGTCACCTGCACGTCCCTACAACCCTTTTTAATCCCCTCCCCCTAATATCAAACCACCCACACCCCCTAATATTAATTAAATGTTCCCGATATATTTGAATATACCAATAGGAGTATTGCATATTAGGGGGGTAGGGGAGTTTAATATTAGAGGGAGGCGGTCAATGTAACCTAAGGGGCGATGTAGTAGAATCCTGAAGAGTCACCAATACTCTCTGCAATCCTGAGAAGATTATATAGTCTAGTACACCTCCAAACCCCGTTCAAGTTCATGGGGTCACGCGTGACCCCACCCTAAACCCTCAACATCACAGTTTAACCTTGAAATCCCCTAAGCCCTAATCCTGCAAGCCGACTCCCTAGACCCTAATCTCCAAACCCTACTCCCGAAACCTTGAAACCTAATCCCCCATCCCTAAACCCAAGCCCCTAATCCCTGACCCAAACCCTGAATCCCCAAGCCCAGCAGCCCCGAAAGTGCTGACGTTCAATCTACATCAATGTATCCTTAGGGTAAGGGGCTTTAAAAGGGGGATGTAGGGGTTATATAGGGATATTTTAGCGATATAAAAGGTTTAGGGATCCTTTATAGTGCTGAGGCGCTATTGCGACATGCCTTTCCGGACCTTTGCGATCTCCAGGTTTCTCCTGGCACCATCGAGGTCTTAGGGTTTGGGGTTTATGGCTTAGGGCCTATAGTGTTTAGCGTTCAGGGTTTAGGGCTTAGGGTTAGGGGCCTACAGTGTTTAGGGTTCAGGGTTTAGGGCTTAGGGTTCAGGGCTTAGGGTGTAAGGTTTTAAAGGTTTAGCTTAGGGTATACTGTGCTTATAGGGCTCTGAGCAGTTTATAGGGTCTATAGGCTATATAGGGTTTTTAAGGGTGTAGGGCTTATGGTTTGGGCCTAGGATTTAGGGCTCTGGGCGTAGGATCTAGGCCTTTGGGCTTCAGGTGTAGGGCGTAGGGCTTGGGGCTTAAAGTTTGGGGTTGAAGGTGACGTAGTGCTGAAGCAGTAATGGTCAAGGCGCAAAGTCACTTCGAGAATGTCGTGCTGAACTAGCCATCTCACCCATTCACCCACCCAACGATGTCTCAAGCAGCCAAACGACCCAAGCCTGTCCCTTTTTTAGTTCTGAATTTTAGGGATGAGGTCCTAAATTCATCTAGCTCCATCCAGCAAAAGACATCTTTATAGCCAGCACCTGAGCATTTGGAAGTGAAGGGTTTCCAACCATGAGGCTTTGTGGGGTTCTCCATAATTACGCCCATTGCATGTGGGGATAGGTAAGAGGGACCCCTATTTTGGGAAACTAAACCCTAAACTCCCCTAAGCCCTAAACCCTCAACGGCCCTAAATCCAAAACTCTACAAGTTCCACGAGACGTTTAAGCACGGTTTAAGTGGGGCTCCAACTACAGCTATAAGTGAGTGTGATGGAGCAACGTGCCTACTCCTTGTCCTGATAAGGATCCTACTTTAGGGCCCTAAACCCTAAACCCTATTTAGGGACATGACCTAGGGTCCGGGGGGGGCCTCATAGGCCTTGGTTTGAGATTTGGAAGTGCATCTACAGCAGGGCTTTGCGGAGCCCAGCGCTTAGGGTCCACATTTAGGGTTTAGGGGATAAACGAGCAAGGTGGAGGAATGGATGCGTGGCAGCCACTAAGTGATCACTGCCAAAAGGTACCTGAGCCCCAAAAGTATGTAGAATACGTGCCTTTTGGGCAATTTTTAGGGGTTTGGGGCTATTATTTTGCCTACTTTTGGGTCCCAGGTATTAACAACCAGGAAGATGAGGGCGGCGCACCCAACACCCAAAGCCTTGGACCCCCAAGCAAGTTGAATTCACACCCTTCCTCTAAAAACCTTAGACCCAAGCCCCTAAACCCAAAGCCCTGCACCTCGCTTTAATCCAAACCGCAATAGGATTTACCTGAACCTCACAAGTAGGTAAAATAATAGCCCACAACCCCTAAATGAAGCCCAAAAGGCCATTATTCTACATACTTTTGGGAGTTCAGGTAAAGTTTAAGGGTTTAGGGTTGATACTGCCCCCACTCAGTAACAGTTGGAGAATAATGATAATATGGTTATATATAGCCCTTACTAGGACCCCTAATATCGACTGTTACGCGGTGGGGGCAGTACCCAAGGTTTAGGGTTTAGTGTCACAAATTTCCAACCCATAGTCTCACTCCGCGTTCGACGCTCCTACGCCCCCTTTACACCCCGTCAGGGTGCATGTGCCCAGCCCAAGAATGGGGTAATTGGAGGTTTTGAGACTAGTCATTGTAGTACAGGTTTTGGGGAAGTATGTGATTATTGAGTACTGGGACCCCCATCCTGACAGTCGGCAATCTTCAGAAAGACAAATGTCTAGAGAGCACCAAAAGAGCCAGACACAATGATCCCTTTTCATGCGCTCCAGATGGGGCACTTTTCTTTTGCAAAGGCCTAAACCCAACATCTTCGATCGCAATGCCCGTATACCCATACATCGCGCTTCTGAATGTATATTGCAGTATATGCCTTTGTAACTCTAGCAAGCAAAGAAAGCGTTTCCCTTCTGTAATTGGAGAACCCCTCCAAGTCATATGAGCTGAGTCTAAACTCCTTACAGGGTGTTTTCCAGGGGATGATATAGGGAGTAGTATAGTGGCACTAACGGGAATGCTAGGATTTTGGAAACCCAAGCCCTAAACCTTAAACCCTATACCCATATGCTGTGAAGGTGAGAGGCCTGAAATTGGCCTACTGGCGTTATTCGCGCCTGCCTTTGCGCCAAGAGAAGGTCTGACAGGTTATGGGGCTCGGGATAAGCTTGTGGAGTTTGAGTTCATGGTCTGATGGCAGGGCAAATTCAGCAGCAATGAGGGTTCGTGGTTGCCAGGAAGGGTGTTGGAGGAGGAGGAGGAGCAGCACGAGCAGCAACAGTACTGAGAGCAGCTCGAAGTTTTGGAGCAGATTCACGAAAGGTGGTAGCACGTTCATGACACGCTCATTTCTTTCCTAGTTGCTCTTCCCAGTCTTTGAAGCTGCAGGACTTGCTTTCTCCACTTGTCCCCGCCAGTTTGTTGTGAGAGCTTCTGTGCTGAGGCACAAATTATGGGTCTTTGAACACTCATATGGTGGGTCCTTGAATAAAAAAAGTATGGTCCCTCTTTGGGTCACAGTTATCATACGGCCCCTACTATGTAGAGTACCCAATGCAACTATCATGATTCCCGAAACCTTAAACCCTTAATGAACCCTAAACCCCTTTCTCCTGAATCCCAGACTCCTTAACCCTAGGCCCCATTTTCTCGAACAAGCGGTGCTTATAAACAAAGATATCTCTATAAGCAAATATTGATTTATATGGGCCCGCAACAGTCCCATCCGTACCCCTAAACCCTACGCAGTGAACCCTGAAACCTTAACCCGAAGCCCTTAACAAACCCTTGGCCCTAAGCCCTTACCCTCTAAACTCCTAAACCCTAAGCCCTTCCTAGACCCCCCAAGTACCCTAACATAGGGTCTATGTAGCTTCTATTTGGGGATACTTAGGGTCTATAGAGGGTACTTGGGGGGTCTATGTAGGGTTCACCCCCCTTAACCCTAAACCCTAAACCCTTAAACCCTAAACCCTAAACCCTTAAACCCTAAACCCTTAAACCCTAAACCGGTTGACCGCTATCCAGGGCCTGCCTCTGCTTATGGCACACGGCGGGCCGGCCTTCAGTCACAGCTACATGCTGCCTTTGAAGCAGCAGGCCTGGGAAACGTGCTGTTGTCGGGTTTAGGGTTTAGGGTCTAGGGTTTAGGGTTTAGGCTTTAGGGTTTAAGGTTTAGGGTTTAGGGGGTTGCTGTCATAGGGCTAAGGAGTTGGGGAGCCTCTGAAAGCTTAAGGCCCTAAGCCCTAAACACCCTAAATCGCCTTACGCAGTGGCAGCCCTAAACCCTATAAACCTTTATATACACTCGCCTGATTTAACATGATTTCCAGGCGAGCTGTAGTCTAAACTCCTTAAAGCGGGCGTTCAATTTCAGGGTTTAGGGTTTCTTGATTAGGGTCTACATTCCTTGAAGAAGGCTATCTAGGGTTTATAGGGTCTACACTCCTTAAAAGGGGGTTACATAGGGGATTACAGCGGAGTATTACAGGGCTTATTAAGGGGGATGCTAGGAGTTTAGACTATATCTCGCGTGGCAGTTCTTTAAATAGTGGGGCTCCGAAGAGGGGCCCCGAGATATTAATTATGGGACCCCCCCAAACCCACCCAATTTTTGAGCAAACCCTCTTGTAGCCAGTCCTCGTAAGGACCCCCCTGGGTCTTCCAGACAGCCTCGTGAAGGGTAGCCCTCGAAATTCCGCGGTTTAGGGTACAGGGCTTGGCTTTAGGGTCTAGGGCTGGGGGCTTGGTCTAAGGATTTAGGGGTTGGGGTTAAGGGGTATAGGGTTCAGGCTTGCGTTGAACCGGGAGTCCCTTGTATGCTTGCCACAAGACTTATGTGTGGTGAAGGGTTTGTGGGCTTGCACTCTAACAAAGACGGAAACCTAGAGCCAAAGCTGCGAATTGAGAAAAAAACCTGCGCAACCTCCAGGTTTTCCAAACAATGTGATCCAAATATCACAAAGTACGCATTTTTCGCAGACTAGAGCCGAAAATGTACACTAGTGGTAGCGTATCCTCAAAAAACCCAGGTTACCAGCACTCAGTATCCTATCGTCACGTTCGCAATACCCGATGATGTGGTGCAAGATTGCCTGCTTCCTCCTGAGCTCCATAGATCCCTAAACCCTAAACCCTTTAACTGCCCTGGTCCCTAAACTCCAAGCCCTGAAGGCCTGCCGTGGACGTGAAGTTGTTTTCTACGACCAGGCCATTGCGAATGTTGTATGGTGATAAGTTATACAGGCTTTAGGATTTAGGGTTTAGGGGATTAGAGGTTTAGGGGTTGGGGTTTAGGGTTCCGGTGATATAGGTCTAAGACCTAAACCATAAACTGCATTCAAACAATGACCCCAAGCCCGTAGTAACCGTACCCAAAGACTCACCCCAAGCTCATACCAGCAGCACCCGAAACCCTAAAACCTAGATCCTAAACCCTTACCTGGACCCCAAAGGTATGTGAAATAATGGCCTTTATGGCTATGAATTATGGGTTTAGGGCTATTATTTAACATACTTTTGGGGTTTAGGTAACCCTAAATTTCGAGCTGAAGCCATGGCATGCGGACCACACAACTTGGGACCCATAACGTGCGCAGCTTGCTTGGGCATGGGTCGCTGAGGTGCACCATGTCCTGTTGGAACCCCATGGTTTAAAGGTGTGAGGTTTTAGGGTTTAGGGAAGTTTGAGGTGCGTGAACGCAGAGGTAAAAGTACGTGGGTTTAGAAATACCTTAGGCATTTATGGAGCTTCCCAAAATTCAGGGGTACCCTTTTTGGGGGTCCCTACAGCAAAGATTCAAGAATTTGGGCGTCTACATTAGGGTCTCCCTATTTACGGAAAGTGCCATATCGGGCTATTAGAGGGCTTCAGCTTCCAGGATACTTACCAGGGTGTAGGGTTTAGGGTGGAAGAGAAAATGGGAAAATTCCATGGGAGCTAGATTTCATACAGAGATTTACAAGGATTATGTACTGTAAGGGCCTGGATAACTACCAATATCATCTAGAGGCCTTCCTGAGGTACCCGATACTGGGCCAATTGTGAACACCTTGCTCGACCTCACCACAAGTGTGGTCAACGCAGAGGATAATCCCCAGGAGATATGTCAATCTAGGCTTCGAAAATACCTTTACATTGTCCCCCCAAAGCATAGACCCTAAACCCTGAACCCTAAGATTTAGGATTTTAGTCCTATTCCTGCTTGCAGAGGAAAGTCGACGTTAAGAGCAATTGTCATGACCCTACGCCTGCAAACCTCCAAGAATTAAAAACGCCGCATGAGCTACAGTCTGAACTCCTTAAAGAGGGTTGCTTACAAAGAGGATTAGATGGGAAAGCTTCATAGAGACTATTAGGGGGATACTAGGAGTTCAGACTATAACTCACATCTAAGGATCCAAGATGATCCAAGTCTACGAGTAATTGATACGTATTTTGGGCCCTCGAATCCATAAGTCATACACACTTCACTGGGCTACATAAAGCCCTATCTCTACGCACGCCCTTCAATGCCCCGAAGCCTACATCCACTCAACGATCGAAAAAAAAAAATGAAAAAGGTGGGCGCGGGTGCATCGTCGCAGCCGCCCTTGCGCTCGGCGCCGTGGCTTCTCACTGTGGACTACTACGTCGAGGTCTTCAGGGTTGAGGGTTTAGGGTCTAGGATGCATTCATATCTCCCATTTATGTACTTGAGTTTCAAGGCTTGGGGATTCGGGTCGGTGACAAATTCATGTTCTAGTAGAGGTTTATGGTCTTCTGTTCTTAAGCATTGCACGAGGCAGTCTGTCTCATGGGGCTATTCTGCCCCCTCGGTACATGGGCCCTGGCAAACTATTGGCCTTATCAATGATTATTGTGAATTATTTGAAGCCTAACCCCCAAACCCTAAAGAAGGCTGAATGGGGCTTATCAGGCCATGTTAGTTTGAGGGTGCGCATATATTGGAGGCCCATGGTAGTCATATGGCAATCACGTTCATCCTTGAAATCATTCAGTCTGCAAGCCTGCTACTTATTTGGGGGACACGACCCAAGTCATACTATACTGGTTCCTGGTATAGAAGCATTACTTGATTTGATTGTAAAGTGTCGAAACCCTGCCTCATACGATTTAGCAAATAGGGTTTAGGGCCTAGGATTGGGATGACTTTCCCGGACGATCAACTGCCCTGTTGATGGTCCTGGTCATGGCGGGTGTTCACCTAGCCCAGCCCAAATCCCTGAAGCCTAAACCCGAAACCCTATCCCGGGTTGCTGTTAAGGACCTTAAATCAAGTTACCATACTGGGTGTATATAGTAAATAATAGGGTTTCCCCAATATAGTAACTTAAATTAAATTCCTCAACAGCAACCCAGTATAAGCCCGAAGCCCCAACCCATTCTCTGTGCCGTGTCCCCCTGACCCAATCTAAGAAGGAGGCGCATATGAGCTCTAGTCTAAACTCCTTAAAGGCGGTTTATATAGGGGAATATATAGGGGACTACTATAGGGGTTATTAGGGGGGATACTAGGAGTTTAGACTACAGCTCATATGAACCCCATGGACATCAGTTCCTATGCTCTTTTCTATTTCATGTTGCGCTATGTGTCTAGGCACCTACATTACCCTAACACCTACGACTCTACGTGAAACAGAGATATATACAGAACCCGCTTGAAAGCAGTTCTCGTGGTTTTCCGATTTGATTTGCCACTACTTATCTAGGCTCCGACCTTATACAGCAAAACCTACACATCCCGAGCAATCCCGTTAAAGGACCTTTCATGTATTCGTATAAATCCCCGATTTCATTTTGTGGGCCCCACACATCCTAAATTTTCCTATGCCCTAAAGCCGGCCGCACATACCCTGAACCCCATAAACCCTAAACCCCAAAACCTTACAACTCCGACAAACCCTAAACCCCAAACCCCCCCCCTCCAAACACCTTAACAACCTTTCAAAAACCCTAAACCCCTAACCCCTAAACCCTAAACCCCTAAACCCTAAAACCCCTAAACCCCTAAACCCCTAAACCCCTAGACCCCTAAACCCTAAACCCTTAAGCCCTACGTGAAGAAGGAGCTCTATGCCCTTGTGAATGCTTTGGGATGGCAGAGGCTTTGGCTCAACTTTCGGTGGTCTTGGGCTTAGGGTTAAGGGGTTTAGGGTGTAGGGTTTAGGATTTAGGGTTTAGGATTTAGGGTTTAGGGTTTACGATTTAGGGTTTAAGGCTCAGGGTTTAGGGTTTATAGGGCTGGGGATTTATTAGGTTTTGGGGTTCTTGGTTTGAGAGTAGGTAGGAGAATCTTGCAAGGTCTTGCACCTTTATTTCTTTAAAGAGCCCCAATCATCTGCTACATTGGTTCATATAAGGGTTATACGGGCATCAGATTAGAGGAAATGTCTGACGAAGTTTTCATTTGGGGGTAGTTAGCAGGCGGTGAGCTTTACATGTGGTTTATATACGCCTATTCTCTGGGGAGGCGGGGTGGTATCTAAGGGCTATGTGAGGTTTATTTGGGGCAGCTACATTTTGGAAATTCCTAATCCTGTAGCTTTGAGGGTTTAGGGGGCTTCGAGCTTGGGGTTAGGGTTTAGAGCCGCGCCTCTAAGGCCTGAATCCATGCGTTTTTTCCGTTTTAGCTTTTGCCTTTCAATGTGGTTCTCCATTACTCCCCTAAACCTTAAGCCCTAAAACCCTAAACCCTAACACGCTACCCAGCTACGGGGTGATCTGAGGTTTGGAACCAGGGTCTGGGGCTTAGTAGTTTAGGGTTTAAAGCTTAGTGGTTGGAGTTTAGAGGCATACATTTCGGTGCTTCACGTCTATCTGTTTAAGGTTTAGTTCGGGGTGTGAAGTGTTTAGATTTTTGGGTTCAGGTTTGAAGTTTAGAGTTTCGTGTTTAAGTGGTTTAGGATCTAGGGTTGATGGCTTCAGGTTCAGCATTTGGGTTGAAGGAAGGGTTGATGGCCCTAAGCTCGACGTTGAGGAGCTGGAATCTTTAGGTCTGAGGGCTGGAACCGCATCTGGCCTCCTTTTTCTGGGTTGCTTTGCAGGAATCTATATGAAGTTGTTATATTGAGGAAACCATGTTAATCACTCTATATATATACACACCCATTATGGTAACTTGAATGAAGTTCCTCAACAGCAGCCCAGTTTTTAAGGGATAGATGGGGGTTTCCATTGGTAGGGTGTCCTTTTTAGGACTGCTACAGGTTTTGTATCCTAAGCCCTAAACCCTAAACCCTAAACCCTAAACCGCGTGGCTGAAGTTCCGAAGCACGATGTCCCCTGCCATGGTAGTGCTTCCACACATGGTCAGTCCCTAGACCCTATAGGGTTTAGGGTTTAGGGTTTAGGGTATAAACCTTAAACTCTAAGCCCTACACCCGAAACGGTTTCATGCTGAAAAGAACACCGGTTACGATGGCTTGGGGTCTAGGATGTGTTGTTTCGAAGCTTGGTTCTAGTCCCTGGTAATAAAAAAAAACCTAAACTCCTACAACCCTTTAAATCCCAAGCCCATGATCCCCGCAAGACATCCAAATAGACCTCAAACCCTAAATCCCAAACCCTAAACCCTGAATCCTAGACCCTAAACCCTAAACTCTTCTGAGGAAGTTCCACCTCCTTGGGAGCTCCTGGGGTACTATCCTAAGCCAGGCCTACGCTTTCACCAAGGACGGTTTGAAGTTTGATGATTTGGGGTTTGGGCTTAGGGTTTAGGGTTTTGGATCTAGGGTTTGGGGTTCAGGGTTGAGAGACTCGGGGTTGAGGGTTTAGGGTTTTGTGTGAAACCCGGGAGTTTAGACTATAGCTCATACATGGGTTTCCCATGTCGGCAAACCATATAGAGACCTCAAGGAGGCCCAGGGAGGTCCTAGGAAGTCCTTCAGCATGAGACGGTCTTGCTGGATTCCTTCCACAAGAAGCCGGGGGGTAGCGAGGGTGGATGGAGGAAACTTTGAATTACATAGGAAGGTCTGGAGGCTCACAAAATCTAGGGTAGTCAGGCTTGTGAAAGGTCTCCTCCTTCCACATCATAGTACTAGTACTGTGACAATGGCTTTGGATTAAAGGCGATGATTGCCGCAGTTACCACTGCAATGACAGCGACTATTTCTATCAATGGTACTACTGTTACGTCTCCAGCTATTGTTCTCACTGACTGTAAACATTATTGTTGTCAGTAGTGCTGCTCTCATCACAAGTGCGCTCCATCATCGCCGTTAAGGGTTACAATAACATTTTCTATCACCGTTCTTATCACCATCTCCAATGCCATCTTTATTTCTATTACTATCATCCCCTTACACTCCCCGTATAAAATGCCGGCTTTGCCAAAATGTTGGTTATTTTCCTTGGTCGCTGTACCAAGGATTATAAGATGTCGGGTCGACGTTCGGGCGCACCCATTTTTGGAAACTACCTTATCATATTACCAGAGCCTGCCGTACACCTAATTTCTAAAAGCCCTGATGCTGATGCGTCTAAACACCCAAAGTACGTAGGTGGAAAACATTCAAGTTTAGGCAGGATTACTTATATCTCCCTATAGTTATTGCAATAGCGAACATGTTTTTTTTTTGCAATATACCTACCCAGGAAAAAGCCAGCGCCTTCAGTTGCGGCAAAACATATTCAGTACGCCTGGGCATCAAGCTACCACAGGCTTAACTAATTGCCAACATCATTGTGCCATATTCCTTGTATAGTTGTGGTGTAGGTTACTAATTAATTCCCAAAATCATAGTCCTAGAATTCTTGTAAAGTTGTGGTGTATGGTACCTTAGAAAGGAGCCCAAGATGAGATTGGTAATGATTTTGGCCCCTACAGTAATTACAAGATCCCTACAAGCCTCCATGTAGAGCGCCGTTCTCGTTGCCTTTTCCATATTCTCTATTGGAGTAAAATCCCTTAATCCCAAATCCTAAATCCCAATCCCTAAACCCAAAAACCTACACCCTAATCTTCTAAACCCTAAACAGCAAATCCTAATCCGTAAACCACAGTATCGTGGAGGATCCTCGCTTGCGTGCAATCGTCCTCTCTGGACCCCTCAGCGACGGCGACCTCTATTGGCAGTCGCAGTGGCTGGGAGCCAATTGTGAAACAATGTAAAGTTTCGGGCTTGGGCCTTAGGTTGGGTCATTCCCCCTTGCAGCAACGGTCCTTTGGGTAGTATTCAGGGACGATAATAGCTCCTCATATTTCGTGTGGGTTTTGTTACTGTAAGGGAGAATGACCTATGTGAAAAACGATATGTGGTTGTAATTCTAACTTCGAAGATAATTGCATGAAATGCTGGTCATGAGAGGATGTTGTCTTAACCTCTGGCATTAAATTCGCTAAGCTAGGTTGTATTTTGCAGTCGGCCTGACCTTTCCCTAGAGAATCCGTAATGGAATTTAGCCCTTTGGAAATCCCCATGTCCGCAAGACACCTAACTTGAGAGAGTCCTCCGGGTTTGTTTGCCTGAGAGCAGATTGGAAACCCCAATTTCTCAGCCCCTTAGGGTTTATAGTCCCCCTTAGTAGATAACATATGGGGGTTGATGGGGATTTTATTATGATATACCCAAAGCCATATTCTATCTACTCGAGGGTGACTATAGGTTTGGGGTGCGGGTTTGGGGTTTAGGGCTCAGGCTTCAAGAGTTCGAGGCCCACCTCCCTACCCGGCTGCAGTCCCAGACCCAAGGTATCCTTGCGTAGCCCAGCCCTAGAGCCGCCTTTTTGATGAACATCGGGGTAGACAAATTGGGGGTTCCCAAAATTAGAGTCGCATTTGGGTACCCCTATGTGAATGTTAGGTGCCGTAATATAACTTAGCCAAAATGGTGCCATAGTTATGAGAATCACCCACAGACAACACAGAGGCATTAGGAGGACCCCGCCCTGTAATAGTGGTATAATCGGAATATAAGAGCACCTTCATGTAATCCTCAAGATCTCTTATAGTCACTGTTGCAGGGTGGGGGTGCACCTGAGATGGAGACAACTTTTTCGGGCAGGATGGAACCAAAGCACCGAAGCAAAGTTTCTGAAGTCTCCTCCTCTGAGGATACTTGTAGCATATACTGGTATTCAAAATTCCAATCAGAACCCCTCTACATCTTGTTGGGTCACACAAGCCCCCGAGCGCGATCATACATGGGTTATATGTGCAGTTTTCACTAGTTTTTAGATTCAGTCTCTGTAACAGGAAAGCCGAATCCTTAAACATGTGGGCCCCTGCAAGCATCAAATCCCAGGTGGGACGAAAAGGTCGGTAATCTGGGATCGCTTCCCTTCTTCGTCCAGGCGCGTCCCCTGTTTTCCAAGCTGAAATGGTCGTGGATCTCCTTATAACCCCCCGCCTATACTATTCAACATAGGTTCTCCCTTAATTACCGAGGGTTAATCACGGGCATGTTTATAGCGAACCTAGGATGACGGGGAGCACTAGGGGAACCTATGACATGCATTTTTAACCTCAAAAAGATTGAGTGCTTTTCTAGAGTCTAAAGGGCTTTAAGAGTTGGTGGGCCAAACTTATCGCTCCCGTTGTTGAAGGAAGATCTTATGGTCCGTGCGCGTGCTGCTACAGGGCTCCTTACATGGAGAAATCCAACTGAACCCTAAGCCAACTGCGCCTCTCTTGCATGACCTTTGCACTGTTGACGTGTGTAGGGGAGATTTCAGCTTTGTACTCGGCTTTAGCTTTCTGACATTCCTAGGATACAAAGCCGTGCATATTGATATGATGCTCAAGCGTGTACGGGGCATCATGTCGATTTTCGACTCAAGAACATCTGGCCTCAACCCTAGACCCCTTTTTTTTTACGCCATCGGCATATCGTTTTCAAATGATGCGATATGCCCTCGCAGCCGCTGTACTGGATAGGGGTTTCAAACGAAACCCCAAACCCTAAACCCTAAACCCCAAACCCCAAACCCCAAACCCTAAACCCCAAACCCCAAACCCTAAACCCCAAACCCTAAACCCTAAACCCTAAACCTGATACGCGGCCCAAAGGCCTTATAGGATGATTACCCCGATGCCGATCCGTGGGTTATCTTTGGACTGTGGACTATACCTTATTATAGGGTTTAGGGTTTAGGGGTTTAGGGGTTTAGGGGTTTAGGGTGTAGGGTTTAGGGGTCTAGGGTTTAGGGTAATTATAGTATAGTAGTTTCCATTTTATTTTCCATTATCCATATAACTTCAAGATATACCCTGTAACCCCTGATTTCAGCCCTAAATCGTAGTTTCCATTTTATTTTCCATTATCATTTTCCATTATCCCAATATAACCCCCAATAATATACATGACCCTAAACCCTAGCCCGCGTCTACGCTCTCCTTTTCCCATTGTTGTTTGCGGCACTGCAGTCCAAAGCACCCACCATAATGCCTATGTGCCCATGATTTTTCGGGGCCGAGCGCAATTTTTGGGGTGTTTGGGAGGAATAGGTACATCCTATGAATCCCGACTCTACATGGGAAGTCTGTCAAAATTGGGTTTTCTCGTGGAAATAGAATTAAGGAGATTGGCGGGTGTTATCTCTACTAAGGCTGTTATGGAGGTAATGTTCAGAACTCTCAGCACAGATCCTTGTTTCATCACGGGATATGTAGGGATTCCTTGTTCTGGCACATCGGCTTTATGTGGAACAGGCAGGAGACCACCAACCAGATGAATCAGTGATGGTCATGGACAAAATGCTGCATGCCCAATGGATTCATAACCCAAAACCATGAACCCCGAACACTAAACCGTGCATCATTTGGTGTTCCTGGAATGCTGTCAGCCTCATGACATCTCCCCACCTCCAAGTACGACATGTGCCATCTGCAGTCCCTCTGTCTTTCTGACCTTCCCTGACAACAACCTTCTAATTTCAAATATTTTGGTATTAAGCCGGGGAGGTATTCTGATTAGGGTATTTTTTTAAATCCCTAAAAGGTAACCATAATCGTAAAACCGTAAAGCCCAAATCCTAAATCCAAATTCAAGCTCCTGCCTTCAGATTCCGGGCTTTAGAGTTATGCATAGGTATATAAGCTATTGCAAATACTCGGGCTACCAAGGACCAATAAGGAGGGACATAGGGGCCCAAATATCTTCCCTGGTTAGGAAACCATGTCCACTATTGTAACTATATGGGAAATGTAGACTTTAGCGCATGTGAGCCCAAGACCTGCTTTGGGCTCTCACTAAATGCCCGTTGATTCCGTTTAGACTAGCGGCAACGATCCTAACCTCCCCTGAGGGTCCAAATGCCGAAGTATATAGTTAGGGCTTACTGTGTGGCGTAAGTAAGTAGCTGGAACCCCAAAGCCTCTAAACCCCCTAAGCCTGAAACCCTAAACCCGTTTGCGCACGTAAACCCCTCAACGCCCAAAACCTCGCACATTGCATCGACCGCTAGGAAGGGCTGCTAGGCAAAGGCAAGTGTTCCTCAGACCTTAATCCTTCAGCACTAAAGAATCTAGACCCCGAGCCCAAAGCCCAAAACCCAAGACCCTCAACCAAAATAAACCTCAATCCCTAAACGCCATAGAGTCCTTAAACCGTAAACCAACGAGGGGCGCCTTGGCTCACGCAGGCCGCATTGTGGGAGCTTGAGACGAGAAAAGAATTCAATTCGCGGTGCTTTCGGCCGCAATCTACTTTGTCAGTGCAAGGCGTAGTGTGTCTATGGTATAAGGTAGGTTGAATGTGGGATGGGGACTCTGCATTTAGGGTGGTAAACATTTTTTGGGATAGGGACTTGGCACGGTCAGGATGCCAGTGCTTTTCGTTAGCATGCGAGATGTAAGCCCTATAAACCCTAAACCCCATAAGCCGCCATAAGCCCCATAAACCCGATAGACCTTGAACCCCAAAATCCTATAAACCCCATAAACCTTATGAACTTGATAAACCTCAAGCCCTACGCCCTAAGTTTGTCGCGGCCGTTTTTTGCACAGGGGCCAGTGGGTTAAGCTGCTAGGGTGGTGGATCCCGTCCGAGAATCCGGAGTATCGGACAGGTAAGATAGAAGCCTCATAAAGCCAACAGCATGGATTACCGCCGGAAGGGGCTATATGGGTTTGCATGTTGGAAAGCTCAAGACCTAACCTAAGCCTTAAACCCGGAGTCCTCAACCCCCATCTAGACCGTGTGGATGGAGGTGTGTTAAGGGTTAAGGTTTTAGGGTTTGATGGAGTGAGGACATCGCTTTGGCGGTTACAGAAGTATTCATGGATGAACAGGGAGTGGGTGGTATCTTTTCGTCTACTGGCCCATTTTCGGGACCTATGGGAATATCGCGCTACATCCTACATGAACACAGGCCCCCATAATCCTGTTGCAATCCTCAAATATGCTGGTTTTTCTACTAGGAAACCAGACACCTAAACCCTAAAACCCTGTACATGCCCAAGGCTAAAACTAAATCCCTCAACCCCCCAAAACCCCAAACCCTAACCCCTAAACCCAAAACCCCAAAACCCAAAACCCTTACACCCCTAAACCCCAAACCCCAAAACCTTAAACCCCAAATGACACAAACCTCAACCATGACAGCCTGAACTCTAACCCCCGAAGCTTGCAGTTGAGGTTATACGCCGTGGAGGATCAGATCCTTGTCAGCCAGCAGTGCAGTTCCCTTTCACAGTTTTAGGGTTCTGGGCTATCCTAAGCCCTACTTGGGACTTACACCCCTACTTATAATCTCCCTAGTTGGGCTTATAGGGGTTACCCCAATTATAAGTAGGGTTATAACCCAAGTTATAAGTAGTTACTAAGTCCCATGGGCCTCCAAGTAAACCAACCCCCTTTACTGTTTGGGGTTCAGGGTCCTGGGCTTCGGGAAGGGGAGGTTCATCTTCATGAGTCAGACTTGACTGTATTTATTAGGGATTATGGGTCAGGGCTTTGGGTTCAAGGTTTAGGGCTTACAGTTTAAGGTTTAGGGTTTAGGATTGAGTATAGCAGAAGAAACTGCGGAATGACGCAGGAGGAGGTGGTAGGAGCAGGAGTAATAGGAGTAGGAAGTGTGGGGGTAGCAGTGGTGGCGATTTGAAAGGAGCTTTTCCCATACCAACCATGACATAGATAAAATTGTGTTCCAGGTCAAGATGTTGTCCCTAAACCCTAAACTCTAAACCCCTGAACCCTAAACCTTAAACCCTTTCTTTCTGACAGCTCTTTTCTGTGGGGGTTCGGGGATGCTGTTTCTCATTTGGCTGCAGCATGCCTCGGGTCTGAACCTGTAAGGATAGAAGGGTTTAGGGTCTAAACTCCTTAAAGGGAGGTTATATGGGTGGTTGTCAAAATTATGGTCCCTTTTTTGGGTCCCTATTATGATACGGCCCCAATTATTTAGGGTACCCAAAAAGGGACCATAATTTTGACAACCACCCATATGGGGGAGTGGTATAGGGGTTATCAGGGGGGATGCTAGGAGTATCGACAGCGGCTACATTCAAAAAGGGAGGCCTCCTTGCGCATGGGAGTTGCTCTAAAGGTCCCTTGAGATTTTTTTTTGGTAGGGATCCGGGAGCCTAGAAAGGATTAGGGTTTAGGGTTTAGGGTTTAGGGTTTAGGGTTTAGGGTTTTAGGGTTTAGGGTTGGGAGATTGGGAAATCATTTTCCATGATGGCCATTGGGAGTAGGAGTTTTGGTCAGCTACCATGTCGCTACATCCTGGAACCCGTCTTATTACTGTGGCGGAATCCGGCGGGAGGATAGGTATACGAGACTACTGTGGTTCTTGACGTAGGGTGTACCTCTACAGGCTCTTGCAGCAGTTGGCCCCTCAACAGCACAAACTTCCAACACGCAAAGGGCAAGACTTTCCAAGAACCTCACAACTATTTGCCACGTTCTTCCCGGAAAAACTCAAAACTCTACACTACACTCCAATTACAAATACATACAGAACTCCCAACAGAACCAAGGCGGCTACCTATAGTAGCTCCTATATAACCTCCGAGAATGTGGTGGCCTCCCCGTGCTTTTCCATGCCTTCATCTCCATGCCTTCATTCCTTACACAGACCTATAAGCCACCCCACTTCCGCGCTGCAGGAACGGCACCATTTCATGATCCATGTTCTTTTGTACTCTGCAAATACTGGTATATGACACCCAAGAAAACCCAATCCGCAGAGTTCAGGCTAAACCTTGAAACATCCCAAAACCTAAACCAAAAAACATCCTAAACCATAATTACGCCCTAAAGCATCTCAAAACCTAATCCCTAAACCCGAAACCCTAAACCCCCTAAACCCTAAACCCTGAAGCCTTAGGATCCTAACATCCTTCTTCACGACCCGCACGACTCCGACCCCCGACTGCTTCAACGCTGCCAAGCCCAGATCCAATACCAGCAGGGTGGCCTGCTTTGAATTAGGGTCTTGGGTTTCGGGCTGAGGGTTTAGGGTTCATGGTTTAGGGTTTCGAGTTCAGGCGTTAGGATGCAGGGTTTAGGGCTTAGGGGGGTTTAGGGTGCAGGGTTTAGGGCTTAGGGTTGGTTCGAAGGTGGGTTCAGGCTTCAAGATTCAGGGCTTCAAGCTTAGGATTTCGGATTCAGGGCTTTGGTAAGTATGATCGATCTAGGGTTTAGGGTTTTAGGTTCCTGTTCGGGGAATACTCGAAGAGCTGTAGAACCCCTCCATGCGAACAGCTTGTAGGCAAAGAACCCCTACGTGTGGGTACACTGGGACTGAGCGAGAAGGTCTTTGGTTGAAGATACTGTTGCTTGACGGTTGAGGATCCATCCTCTATATAAAACCGTCATAGCCTAATGACAGCCCTTATATAACACCTACCTAAACGCCAAAAGTATGTAAAATAATAGCCCAAAACCCATAATAATAGCCATAAAGGCCACTATTTTACATACTTTTAGGGTTTAGGTAGATAGTTTTAAAAGGCATCCTGTGGCCTTGGCAGGCTTTGCGGTTTGGGTTCGCAATGTTCAGTCTCGCTTGGCTTCATTGGATACACACCCTTTGAGGCCAGCAAGGCTCATAGGTAGCCAAAAATACTTGTAGCTGGAAACCCTAAAACCTACACCCGAGAACGTTACCTGGACCTTTTACTTGCAGCCTGGATTCAGCCCTACCCTTCCAAGCTAAACTGCCTTCAGCCGTCATTCCTTCCCAAAAAGGCCTTGCAAAGGCTCATGGTATGGTCCTGAACCGGGGTGCCGGGGGAGGGGGGGGGGGGTGGTACATATGACGCTTTGTGCACGGGCTAGAACATATGTTGATCGTAATTTTGAGTCCAGTGTTCTTAAAGACTACACCCCCTACCTGGTGCGTTGAAGGGATTGAGCCCGACTCTGGGGTCTCAAAGTGTTGTTAAACATCCCCCCTTACTTGGTACGTTGAAGGGAATTAGACAATGGATCCCGAGACCAGTCCCTGTATAATCCATTAATCAACTTCCCTATTCCCGACAAAGAGCTAAACCCCCCAGCCATGAATCAAATACGCTAAGCCCTACCTAAACCCCCAACAGTAGGTAACATAATAGCCCTAAACCCACAACAATAGCCATAAAGGCCATTGTTCCACATACTTTTGGGGGTTCAGGTAAGCCTTCATCTAAACCTTAAACCCTAAGCCTTAAAAAGAAAAAACCTAACCCCCAAAACCCGTTCACAGCAAAAAGCGCAGATGCAATGTTGCAAGCTTGGTTGCTTCTTAGGACTTAGGGTTTAGGGTCTTAGAGATTTGGGTTTAAGGTTTAGGGTTTAGGGGTTTTACGGTTTAGGGGTTTCGAGTCTAAGGTTTCGGGTTTAGGGTTTTAAGTAGGGTACTTACCCTCATCCCTAAACCCTAAACCCTCTTTTGATGAATGCAGGAGATCTACGTGGGCATGCAGGGCGCCAGTCACTTGGCATTCCTGCCGATATGGGTTTGCAGGGTTTAGGGTTTGGGTTTGGGGTTTGGGTTTGGGGTTTAGGGTTTAGGGTGCAAGGTTTAGGGTTGGGGTTTAGGGATTAGTAGAGAGGACACATTGTTGAGACTATTCACTTGTCTCCCAAATTTAGCCCCTCATCTCCTCGGATACTAAATAATCCCAATATATCACTATGAGCAATATTCAAACCCTAAACCCTAAAACCCTAAAACCCTAAACCCTAAAACCCTAAAACCCTAAAACCCTAAAACCTTAAACCCGAAAACCCTAAAACCCTAAACCCTAAAACCCTGAATGGCACCTGGTTTTCAAGTTAGGGGAAGCCCCGAACCCCTGGGATCCCATTCCTCATTCCCTACAGTGCACCTGGTACGGTCCTGTAGGAGGCCCCAAACCCTAAACTTCTGGGCAAGTTATATCAAGCTCAAAAAGATCATATCGGGTTTAGGGTTTAGGGGTTTAGGGTTTAGGGGTTACGGGTTTAGGGTTATTGGCAAACATACCCAAAACACCACACCCTGAACCCTACACCCTAGAGCGGCCAGGCAAAGACTAGGAACCGATAGCACATGGAACTTTTCTCAAATTATGGGAGCTGAGGGATTAGAGTTTAGGGTCTAGATTTCTTAAAGTGGGGTTCTTATAGGGGACTATATAGAGGGTTATCAGGAGGGGATACTAGGAGTTTAGACAGTGGCTCATGGAACGTGTTATCACTTGCAAGTGGTTTGGGGCCTCTGCTGCTTCATGCCTATGTGAGCCATAGTCTAAACTCTTCAAATGGGCGTTACGTAGGGGATTTTGTAGGGCTTAGACTTAGGAGTTAGGGTTTAGGGTTTAGGGGGTTATATAACGGATTATACTTGAATTATGATAGGGTTCATTAAGAGAGATACTGGGAGTTTCGACTATAGCCCATGTGTCTGAGCACCGGAACAGCAGGCGCAGTTGAATACCTCACATTTATGTACTGTGAAGAAGCCTAAGCAATCACCAAAGTTCTCCTCTTCTTTTCGAAGGCATGGCATAATGTGTGTACGACTACGCCTTGTTTGTAGTATTTCGACCCCTATGTATGATAGGTTTGTGGAGTCTCTGCGTGCGTATGACGAGACGAGTTGTCTGGAGTAAAAGAGTGGGTAATGCAGATGTTGTCATCTTGTACCTGGAGGTTCATCGCTATAATTGCAGAAGGAAGCAATACTAATTGCCAGTACGATGGTGCAGTACTAGGTTCCTTCTATAATTTAGACCTTCACATGCAAATCTGCTGCAGCTGAGCCCATGTGAGCTATAGTCTAAACTCCTAGTATCCCTTAATACCCCTATAGTAGTCCCCATTATAATCCCCATATGACCCCCTTTAAAGAGTTTAGATTATAGCTCATGTGTGTCCGATGTGTGTGCCAGAGACTGCCTGAACACGACCTCGAGATGATATTGGTAGTGGTTTAGGATTTAGAGTTTAGAGGTCTAG